ATTCTGAATACTTCTTTATGACACAAAATTACAGTCGATGAAGATATTTATAGAGGATCTGTTTGAAACAAATTCTGGATTACATAAACTTGTCTTGGAAATAGTAAATGTTGCATTTGGTTAAGTGTTACTATACGTATACTTACATAGAACAAATAATTTCGATATACATTAAATATTAAAAGCTCAGCGCTTCTGCATAAACAGATTGGCATTAAGAAGACACGTTTAGCAATCACTACCCCCAATTTGCCACACACAAAATGCGTGCGAAGTAGGCTTCAGATTGTGTGAAAAATAATGCGAATAACATCAACATTCAAATAGCATCTTGCGTCAGACGGTCTATCACCAATAAATTGCAAAATTCTCCGCTTCACCAGCAACAAATGATTTGAAAATATAGATTCCATTCTAACATCGCATGATTGTATTATACAATTTTCTTCTCCGAGGCGTGTTTAAAAAAGGTCCGAAGAGCACAGAACCATAATTAGAGAAGAGGAAAACGCATCCCACGCGCTCGCCCTCAACTTCCCCTGCGGGCGACAGCGCAGCAGCAAAAAACTCTGGCGGGCCTCCCACGCGCCCGCCCCCCGTTCCCCACCCCGCCCCCGCCGCGCCGCGACGCTTTCCAACCTCTGTCATCCGCCGCGAGGCAGCAGCACCGGCGGGATGTTTAACTTGGGCTCATGGCAGTCTCACACAAGGAAGGGCACGAGATCGCAAACATACAGCGGCGTATACACAAACGACCTGATATTAGAGCCACCTCCTCAGGCCGCCGCGGCGCTTCAGACGGCGGCCGCTCGGAGCGCGTCGGGCGCCACACAGGGTGCGGTGGAAAGAGGCTGAGGAATGGTCTTCTCTTCAACGAGCACGCGCGATCACACTAGGGAATGCGGAATGAACTTAAGTACTTCTGTTACTGCAGCTACAACAGAACACGCTTAATACGTTGTTTACAACTTTAATTTCCGAAATTCAGAGAGTTCAACAAAAATTAGTTTTGCCTCATTTTTTACGCATTGTGTTGATTTACTTAGAATAAAATAATGATACATTTGGAGAAAATAAAATTGGAGACTTTTTGGAAATTTAAATAAAAATTGCATTAACTTCAAGCAAAAATTACTCACTCATTCAAGAGAATGTTCATGACCATTTATAAAGATTTTTTTTTTACTTTCTCGCATATTAATTGCTCATTACAGATAAATTATTGTAATGATCAGGCAAAAAAAGCGTTTTTGTGACAGAAAAACACTTATTGTTTGCCCCTCATAGCGAAAAAGTGGATGCATTTTCATCCTAAGTGTAGCAAAACAACTACAACACGTTGTTACAGGGAAAGATGGCTCAGGGCATCCACTGATGTCACTGCAGTCCCTCTGATACAGAGACCCTAGGTTCGAGTCCCGTCGGTGGTAGTAGTTTTGACGGTTGCAGGCTAGTCACCTAGTTCGAATTCAGCCGCTGTCTCGAGGAAAATTTTAGTGGCCAGCTGCTCTGAGCGTTAGCTTACCAAACGGGCCACGGACCGCACGCTATCTTTCCTACCTCTTCCGTGTCCTATCCTCAGCCCTTACACACACATATACTAACATGTACTACACTACCACAGATCGGTCTGGAGTTTGGAGCTTGTCTCGGCATACAGCGGGGGACCACCATCTCGCAAGCAAAAAACTGCGCTAACGGGAAAAAATGACTTTGGTAGTCGAGGCCGGCTTGTTAGTTGCGCCCGAAATCACAAACAATCAATCAACATGTTGTGTAGTCACAATCCACATTTTGTGGATCGTTGATACCGAAAAAATTGTTTACTGCAAAACGTCTGTAAATCTCCACCCACACGTCTGTCTGTCTGTCTGTCCGTCCGTCCGTCCATCCGTCCGTGAACAAGACTAGCGGCAAAACCGTAGGAAGAGTTTTCATTAAAACTGATATTCCTCGATGAATCTGTTGCGACCTAATCAATTTGAAATTGACATTTTGATTTTTGTGGGTTCATTACATGAAGCCCTAACAACATTTTCAAACTTCTGTAGGAAAAGACCTCTTCTGTAAGAAAAGACTGTTAAAGATATGACGCAGGTAGCTTTTTCGTTGATATATCTAATTTTGGAATACTGCGTAAGTTCAAAATGTTGTGCCTGCAACTACAACATTAAAGATAGAGACGTTTTTCATTATTGAAATCTGTTTATTAGAAACAGATCTTTAAATTTGATCATGTACACGTATTCGAAAATATAATAGTTTCCGCATACTATTGCATGAAATAAAGACAATTTTTAAACAATTACTTCCTAAAAATCGGTTCAATTTTCTTTATTTTTTTCCTCCTAATATGGTAGAATGGTAAGGAAAGTGGCGCTGGTCCCATTTTCGAAATATTCTTTGTTTTTTCAAAAAAGAAAATTTTTAAATTATTCAATGAGAATAAGACTGCATTTCTTCATATTTTTTAAGGTTGGTTTGAAGGTCCTTTAATTTTTTTAGGAAATTATTTACTAATTTATTAATTTTCTAAAATTGTATGAATTTAGTAAAAACGTATTATGTGAAAATGTCTGCCAAAAAATTAAGTAGCTTCAAACCAATTTTCAGAAAATTACTAAAAATATATTAATATTTCAATTTGACAATATTGACGCGCAATGCTTACGGTTTATATAGCGCCTGATGCTTAAGGTCATGCGCTATATCTGAAAATGAGTAATTTTGCAAATCAAAATGTTTGCACATCTTCACGATTGCAAATTAAGATTTCCTGCAGCCTTTTTGACGAAAACAGTAACGAGATGTCATGACGCTATTTCACAATGGCAATGCGCCAAAACGGTAATTTGAAATATTCAAATTAACTTTTCTTTGTTGGATCATTCTTTTGGGTTTACGTAAGGCAGTTTTAGATTGTCGAATTTGTGTTTTTTTATGAACTTAAACAAAGTTAGTTTTCACATCTAATACGCTACGATTAATGACTTTCACATGTTATCGCTGAGATATGTTAATATGGAGAGTAACTGTAGTAAAATATTAGGCCTGGATAGTACTATCCCTTGTAGCATCATTCCCATATAAATCATTTTTACTCTTTTCTGCACTGAGCTTCAGATATCATGTTGGAATGTATCCCATCTCTTTAACATATTCGTCATTTCTCTCTCTCCTTTTGCCAAAACAGCCATATCCGTGTACGTAAGACACCACACTTCCTCGCTATCTATTACCACTCCTCCCTGTTGCCCTCTCTCTGAACAGCCTCCCAGTGCCGCCATGTGAACATTAAGTAATGTCGCGTTGAACGGGCATCCTTTTCCCTCATTTACATGTCCGGGACATTTCCCCGACGTTCTCGCTCATCTTTCTTGCATCGTGTCTCTTTGAACACCTCCCTCACGCTGTCGACGCGTCTTCATCTCCTCCGAGGTCTCCCACAGTTTCATCCTATCCACCCTCTCAAATGCAATTTTAGGCCTACGAAGACGACGTACATCTGCCCCCTTTCCTTTTTAACTAAATAGACCGAAAGTGTCCTTAACACAATGAATCTACATATTTAAACGGCAATCAACAGCATTAATTGCAATTGCAGTTGAGAGAACTGTTGCAATTTGAGAGAACTGCTGCAAACAGGTTTTTGCTTTAAATCAGTATTCGTGTACTCTTTTATTTTCGAAACATCTCAAAATCTACTCTTCCTACAGACAAAAATTGTAAATTATATCTTTCAAGATCTTCTCAATTTACACAATGGTTTAGTTTCGATCGTGAATATGTACATGGAAGATACGGTATTTTTATTAACTATCACGCCTGTTTAAGAATTATAATTTTTTTTGGTCTGTTAGTATTTTAATAAAAATTAAGTTTGCAGAATATGCCAGAGCAGCAAAACATTTTCTCAAATGAGGATTTACTGGGGGTAATATAGGGGAAATTTTAGGGAAGATTTCTTTTGAGTGTTTTAAAAATGAGCCGATAATTTTTTTACACTTAAAATGTGTGAAAACTTGTTTGTATACTCGTAAGATATCATTTGAAGTATGCATTACATTTTGATATTCCTATATGAAATGCATGGTATGGGCTAAAATGATAATTGTATTTTTGTATTGGATTGGATTTTTTCGTCGTAATTAACTGCACCAGGGTCGGTTCAAATGCAGTTCAAAGATTTGTAATTTAAATAAAATGTACACTTCTATCATGAATAACAAAAATCTATCCTCAGAAATACGTAAGTCGCGACAACACAAAAAATTCTAGAGCAGGAACACACTCCCTACTTGAAAGTAAATGAAAGAGCAGCAGGCAGGAAACAACACAATTGCGGATTTTCCTACTGTCACAAAATGTATATGGTGTTGAATCACTTGCCCCAGCACGTCACATCATATCCACAGTATTTCTGTTCCAGTGAATTATCTTTATAAGTATCATGTCGGTTTGCTCCACCAACAGTCAATTTAAAATATTACACAAATCACACGAAAATTCTCCCACAGAGAACCAGTTAGATCTGCATTCCACAACACACCAAAAAAGCTTAAATTACACACGCACACGCAAGCTCAGAATGAATTCGAAGCGTTTCAGCCATGCGCCACATTCCATACATCTGATACTATTCTTAAAAAATCCACAATTTTCGCGCACTAATTGGTTACAAATAGCGTCACATAAGATCATTGGGCTCACAAACTTCTGGAAGCACAGTAACGAAATCGACTTTCCACTCGGCATTCCGTTTACTACCCACACACGAGAGAGAGACATTCATTCACAGTGTTTTTGCGTCAAGGCTGAAAGTTGTTGTTGATCCAGACGAGTAGCTCGATGTTGGCAAGGAATCAGTTGTAGTGCAAACATGCAAATACTTGAACATTGTATTAAAATTAAGTTACAAGATAATTATGTTTGAGGTGGCCTATAGTGGAATTTCTATTTTGTATGACCGCCATGCCAACGTATTTGTTAGTGGAGTCGACTCACACGATCCCAGCTGTCAGAGGATAGAAGGTGTACTCACCGTTGTGCACCAGCAGCGTGGAGTCGCGCGCCAGAGCCAGCTCCGAGTCCGTCAGCGTGGCATCGCTGGCGTTCTCCGACGTGGGCGTGTCGCTGAGCCCAGCGGGGTGCGGCTGGTACTGGTGGTGGAAGGGCGTCTGGTACGTGTGGTGCTGGTAGGCGTTGGCGGCAGCGTTGGGGGCGGCGTTGGCGGCGGCGAGCGGGTGCGGGGGCGGCGCCGGCTGCGCGGGCGGCGGCCGCCGCAGCGAGCGGTAGTGCGCCGGAGACGGCGACTCGTGCGGCTCACTCTCGCCCTCCGAGCCGCTCAGGCTGTAGGCAGGGTACAGGCGCCCCTTCCCTGCGAACGAGCACCCGCACAGCCGCGTCTTAGACATGGCTGCGGCCGACTGACCGGCTGGCAGCCGGGGCCCGGGCCGGGGCCCCTCGGGCCCGCGGGCCCCCCTCCCATCCGACCCTGGACCTATCACCTGGGCTCCAGTTACACGCCACGCCGCGCCGCGCCGGCAGGGAACAGTGTCGGGACACGGCTGCGCACAAAACGCCCGGCTCGCCCATTGTCTGCTCCTCGAGAGGAGTTTGAAAGGGACCGGCGAGACTCGTAAGAATAGTGTAAGTTCGACGTGTAACTCGAGAAGAAACTGACACAGTTTCAAAAAACCCAAGTTCACATTTTGAAGCGTGGCTGAATGTTTTCCAGCGTTGCAGAGGAAGAAAGGGAATCATAATTAAAATACAGTTTGGAGCCGAGGCGCGCGGTGGCCACCTGACTGAAGAAACAAAAAACAAAATCCTTCTGGGTCGGCCTTAGGTAGTAAAATATGGACACAAAAAGCGGGTAAAATACCTGACTGCGTAAATTGACAGTCTTTTTGTGGCCTCTTCTCATATACTTTTTACAGAGACACTTACATACTATATCACTGGAAGTATCCTGCGCAAATGCAACAGAATGCACAGGCCGTGCTCGCTAGTCACAATTTATGGAGTATCCCATCCACGGAGCTCATAAAGAAGATATCATTTAACAGGGGAACATTTTATATTTTGGCTCCCTCAATTCCCTAGATATGTACGTAGTCATAATTTTCTAATTATATGTAACATCATGTTGGTATATGTATGAAATACATATTTCATGTCTGTAGTTCCCCGCAATGCATTTCACTATTATTCTGCTCACGACCCAACTTTTTCATACTTGAAACTCCTAACGTAATTTTTCTCAAAGCCTAAGTTGCTTCATCAGACTCATTGTTAAGTGAATTCGTTTCTGATCACATTTGACATATGCTTAAGGCATCTTGTAAACAAGTTATCAACTGTTATCCTTTTACTATACAAAATTATTGTTGTAATAATAATAGTGCTTTCATTAATTACATGCGTCCCTAGTATGGCTCAATTTCGATTTCGGTTCGATTTCAAGTTGGTGAAAATAGAACTGAAGCTTACTAAACAATCTTCTCAGTTTCAGCTGTAAGCTGCTTTCTATAGCTGTACGCAAGAAGTTGAGGCAGGCCAAGAACGCTAAATGTCGATGCGAGTAAATCGTGTTCGCCACATGTCGCCGTTACTTTCGACGTGGATAACACATAAAAACAGTGCCCAGGCCTGGGAACAATGCCTGCGCGCAAAAGTCTACTTAATATGATTCTAAAACGCCAAATACATACATACACATATACAATTATAAAATGCAATGTTGAATGCTAACTTATATACATTCAATGGTAAACATAATTCACGAATTATTTGAAACATTTTCTACAACGAGTGGTTATTAGAGTATATTCATTGCATCATCTCTGTTTACTTTGATCACAGTTGCTGTTTAGTATGCAACCTTTGTTCGGAACATATACGTGACATACACAGGATATTGAAAAAGTGAAGGAATTTCCATTAATGTATTATGATCCAATTAGTATTAATACGATTTGTGTTCGGCTCAAATTTCATATCTCGGACAAGTGAAAATAAGAAGAAGAAAAAAAAGCAATGCAATAAAAATTCAACAATCGAGAAACAAAGAAAGACAATAGTGACAAAAAAAAACAACTATTATCTCAAGGACCAGGAGCACAACACCGTCACGCCACGAAACAGTGCCGTGTGAGTGAGAGAGTAGGTGAACGTCCTTTCCGTAAGAAGCAGATCCGCGTGCCACCCAGGCCCGCTGTCGCGACAGAACCTGATTGCGCGGGGCCGTGTGTCTTTTGGCGGCCGTGGGCCGGCCATTCAGCGCCCGGGGGCTGCTACAAAGACGCGCAGGCGGCTCGCGCGGGCACAATGCGCGACTAATTCGAGGCGGCTGGAGCCGTCTTCCCCCGCGCGCATGCGCAGTGCCACGAAATCGCCTTCGCAGCGCACATACTCTCCGACACATGCCAGAAACACAAGTATCGAGAAAAACCTATTTCTCATTCAACAGGGTAATAATGTTATAGAGCAACTAGTATTCAGTATTCCAAAACCCAATTACACTTCATTAATACGACAGACGATGAGGTGAAGTTTGCGTTCCGGTGAAGTTCGGGCTTTTGCTATAATTTATAGGTAGTGCAAGGATTAAAAAAAAGGGGGGGGGCAAGAATGGGGTGCGCGGAAGTGTGAATGGATGTGCGTTTATTTCGTTATACACATATTGGTGTCGTGAGGGTAGTTTCGTAGTTTTAGTTACTTAAATACTTTTAAGACCACACTCTCTTCCCTCAACGTTATCAACGTTTTACAGTGAATCTTTATTACAATTTAAATGTCATAATATCGTTCAAAAAGTATATATTTTATTTCAACCATTCATAGCCTGTATTCTTTTGAAATCAACGAGCAAGAACAAACTGCACGCGGGGGCGCAGGCCGGGGCTGCGTGCGCGGCCGGCGGAGGGTTTGGACCGTGCGGGGCGCGCACCCGCCCAACGCGCGGGGCGGGGCGGAGCAGGTAGAGCGCGCTGGGCGGCGCTGGGCTCATCCGCTGCGCCCGGGGCCCCGCGCGGGCCCACAAAGGCCTGGCGAGGGGAGCGATTGGGCCTCGTCCTATCACAACACGCGCGCACCCCGCAGTGACACATTCCTCTCTCGAGTGCCGGGTGCCGCCGTTTGACACGGAGCAAACTCCTTACAAATAGGCGACATAAAGCGACGGCAGCTAGCCGTCGTGTTGTGCTAACACTACGAGCAAACTGTAGTAAGGTGTATTATTTACTCTCATTTTGTAATGATGCTGGATATGTGTGCGTTCGAGTACGACAACGTTTGTTTGAGAGGAAACTTTAAATGTATTTGTACTTCTTGTAAGAAAAGCAAGACAAACTGCTTTCAGAATAAATGTTGAGATAGAAAGAACTCAATTGGCATAAATGAATCAAATGTTAGTCGTTTTTGATAAGATAACTCATGACGTTTGGGCCCCATTTTTAAACTTTAGATTTACAATAGTCTTATTTATGTTTGCTCAGATGCATCGGCGCTGCTATTTCTTCTCTCATGTGTTTAGTTCGTCACGAGGACCCCAATCTGTCTATAGCTACTTTCCTGTCTGCCTGCATCCTCCCCTGATCTCACCGCCCTTTCCGCTCTACATGCCTCCCAATCTCAATTGTTGCATCCTAAGGCAACCTTCCTTCTTTGCTCGTATGCGCACTTTTCTTGCTACTTTCCCAATTCAGCCTTATTATCGTCCAGTCGGTTGATTATTCCTGCTGGCTTTTTGCGGCCGCTGCCTCCCTTGGTTCTTGTGCACCGCGGCCTCTGGCGACCCCGCCCTGCCGCCCCCGCCGCAAGCCCCCCCGCCCTGCGCCCCGCCCAGCCGCGCGCCCGGTCCCCGCCCAGCCCCGGCCGCAGCCGGCGCTCGCGATCATATAAATGTGATGGCCCCGTGCAAACTTGGCGCGCGGCAAAAGTTTCGCGAGTTCAGTCTAAGCTTTGTAATATATCTGTAAGAGCGCCGCGGGGGCGGAGGGGCGGGGCGAAGGGCGGTGGGGCAGGGGAAGGGGCATGTGGAGGGGTAATTGGGCTCAGCGGGGACCAGCGGACACTAAGCGCAAGTTGCGAAAATGTCGGAACTGCAGACCACAGGATGGGATGAAGACCAGTTAAATACGAGGTCAAGGAAAACAAAGTAAAGTAGCATTCGTTCTTGTTACCGTTATCCTTACGCACATATAAGAAACGTCAACACCAACACTACTGCACGTGGTACTACTCGTATTCATAAATTATTCTATCACTAGTCTACCACTTGCTATATACATGAGCGCGGGGTCTTCTTCGGAGGAAAAATCAGTCTTCAGTACCACAGGCCTGTAATGTAATTGAAACATTTACAATGACACGAATTATTACGTTATGCCAAAACTCAACCTGTGTCATTGTTACTTCGGTTACAACTGAATGATATTTTTTATATGTATTTATTTGACATTCATAACCAGGCACCCGGCAGATAAAACTTAAGATTTCGCTTTTTGTGTTGTATGTAGGCCATCAAATTGCTAGTATATTGTATTTTTCCCTTTTTTTATTTTACAGAATTAAAATTAATGTCAAGAAAAATTTCACGATCAACAAACATTTGACGTATACACTCAAATAATAATCAAAATCCAAGATGAATTTAGTTAATTTCTACGGAGAACGTTCAAATTTAAACAAAAAATACACATTAATTTCATGTAAAAATGAAATATATACTCCAATCACATGGATAGGAAAAAGGAGTAGAAAGCAACGAAATAATGTACACAATTTCCTTCGCTAACTATCGCGTAATAAATTAACTGAAACACGCCAACAAAGCCTATTGCCTTCGAATTGATACGGTTTCTGTTTTACGCAGAATATTACGCAGCGGTACTAATTAAATTCATAACTTTGGCTGTGCACATGGGGTGGGAAACAAAAGAATATCGTGAGGGAACATTGTATTGTGGGCGAGATGGTGGCCGGGCCCGGATTGGAAAGCGGGAGCGGGGGCGGGAGCGAGGAGGAATATTTTGTAAGTTTTCCCGCGAGGGACTGTTTGCCGACAAAAAGTCTACCCCCTCTTGGCGGTTGCTCTGTGAAGGAGCAGTATTTTCTTTCATTAATGTGGGGGTGATACTGCATTAATGAAGAAGAGCGTTTTTAAGATATCTCCTTACAGTTTATGACTCGATAAGACTTTGGGGGAGTGAAATATTTACGTCTCTTGCGAGGAAGTTAACAAAGTGATGAGGAAGGATTCTAAGATTTCGTACGCGGGGACTTTTGTTGACTTTTTCCCTCGTGCGACAAAGAAAGTTTTCAGTTATGATATCACAGAATGAATTGATAAATCAACTACAGGAATACTGTACGACCCGTTTCAGATGAAAAAAAAGTAATGAAATGTATA